CTGACTAATAAATCAAGACACTCTAGTTGTGCCATTGTTAGATATGGATCTATTTATTGATGATGTATGTGTATATATATATATATGAGCCATGATACGAGCATGAAGTATCGGGATCATTGGTTAGGACTGAGGCAAATATTGTCGGTTTAGATGGGTAGCTGGATATAGGAAACGTGTGTACCCTGGTAGAAGGGGACTCTAGACCACCTCAACCTCGTGTGCAATTTTTCCATGACATACCCACTATCTGGTTGACACTGCCTTATTGTCCAGTGAGAGTCTTAGTGCGAATATATGTAGGGATGTATTGATTGTCAGTTATCTGATCGGGTCGTAGTAGAGAGAGAACTTGTTTGTGGGTCTGATCCACTATTTATTTTTCAGGTCCTCGGTAGTACCAGTCTTAGAGTTGTTCGTACAGATTGGAGATCGTTCATCTTTACTCTTCCGTATCATCGATATAGGATATTATCTTAGATTTATGTTATTTTATACTTTGAAGGTTTATGGTTTATTGGATTTATTTAGAGTATTGATATCAGAGGATAATTATTTATTATTTAGTTTTTCTTTCAGCATTATTATATATTTTATTATATTCCTCTTGTATTTTATGTTTGTTTATTATTGATTGTTTTTATATCCCCGTGTTTTTGGATGTGGGCTTGGCCAACCTGTATGCGAAAATTCGAGGGTATCACAGTTGGTATCAAAGCACTCCGGTTCAAGTATCTCTAGGAGTTTTTATTGTATTTCGACTTCCGCGTAGCGTATTATTTGATTTAGAGCCTAAGTATTAGAGTTCACTGTATTCTATTTACGGTCCATTAAATGCATATTAATGTCCATTTTTCTTGTTAACAGATTGGTTATCGCTGGAAGAAGATGGGAAATGGAGTAGATGAGGAGAGCAAGCCAACAAAGGTGGGCGGAGCATAGGCATCAAAACATATAACTTGTACTATAAAATATATAACTAATTATTATATTAATATTATATATAATTTTTAAAAACATAAACAAAATAGCCTTTTCATGTTATTGATTCAGAAATTTTGCCAACAAAATGACATGCCAAACATGTTTTGTTTTCTAATTTCTTAAAACGCAAGATGTTACCAAACACGTTTTCATGTTTCTAGTTCCGAATTTCCCAAAATAAATTTTCATTACCAAACATGATTTCGATTTCTACCCAAAACACTCCTATACCAAAATGGTTGTTTTGGTACAATTTTGGTTTTGAAATACTGTTATTTTATTATTTTTCAAAATGAGAATTAGAGAAATGTTATTTTATTATTTTTCACAATTAGAGAAATACTATTTTATTATTTTTCAAAATTACAGAAATGTTATTTATTAATTTTCAATTATACTCAAATAGTTAATAAAATATTATTTTCTTATTTTTTAATTTTACTCAAATAGTAAATAAATTAAAAATATATTTTATTATACTCGAAAAGTAAAATTAAAAATGTTAATTTATTATTTTATTAATTTTCAATTATACTCGAATGGTAAATAAAATATTATTTTATTAATTTTCAATTATACTCAAATAGTAGGTAAAATTAAAAAATATATTTTATTATACACAAATAGTAAAATTAAGAGTATTATCTTATGAACAATGTTTGCCTTAGGCCGCATAAGAAGGAACCTCCTCCTTATGATGAGGTAGTCCATTAAAATATCAACAGGTGTTTAAGTTTTAAAAGAAAAAAAAATGATAATTACAGACAATAAAAACTTCAAGAAGTATCCATAGGATATTTGATCGGCTCTTCCTACGATGACAAAGCCACCACTATAAATAGAAGAAGAAAATAAGTGTCCATCTCTCAGTGTAAATATACATCTACACATGTCTATGTGTGTGTGTGTATATATATATATACACGTATATTTTCTGTATGTCTCAACTTGTCCTAAATTAAGATAATTGCCTAAAATAGTGAGATCAAATTTAAAATCAAATAAAGTTATATTCTCTCTCTATCTTTCTCTTTCTGGATTTCAGTATCATTGATTGATTTATAATTTGAATCGATCAATGGGCATGAGAGAAAAAGAAGGGAATGATTCAAAATACAGAAGTAATATGGGAATGATTCAAAATAAAGAAGTAATATATATCGCTATATATAGCTGCATGAGAGAGAAAGAGGGAATGATCAGTTTCTATTGCCTGTAATCATTATTATTATTATTTTTTTATAAAAAAAAGTTAAACACTTGTTAATATTTTATTGGACCATCTCATCATAAGGAGGAGGTTCCTTCTTATGCGGCCTAAGACAATCATTATTCTTATCTTATTATGTTTTAATTATACTTGAATAGTAAATAAAAGAGTCAATTTTTTTTTTTTTTTAAATTTATCAAATATATTTCATTTTTTTAAAAATTCAACTAACTTTACAAATATATTTAATTTTGACAGGAATGACTGCACAACTTTTCAAAACTTGTCATTTTCACAAAAATGAAAACATAGAAAAAATAAAAAATAAATAAAAACTGCCGCATAACCAAATAGGCCCAAGTGTTGAACATTATTTTTTTTTCTTTCCCAATTTAATTAACAAGTCATTTGGTGGTTCAACTAAATCAAAATTCATATTAAAATAAAGCTATAAACAATTTTTTTTGATTGATTCACTTGTTTCTGGTTAGAAAATTTTGATTGGACTAAATCATATGCTCCACGGCATATAATCATAGAACTCACAAGTTTGCTTCATGATCCTAGAAGGTGATTGTCTATGTTTAATAATGTTAACAGTGCAAGAATATATTTGCACACACATTTTTTTTTTTTTTTTGGGCATTCAAACCCCTTCCACCACGCTCCTTAAATATGCCAAAGTTATTTTTTTACATTGACAAGAATATACTTGCACACTTTTTTTGTTGGGCTACAATTTGGATGGGTTGAGCGAGTTTAAACCTATTATATAAAATATTAAACTCAAATTCAATTTAATTCTAACTACTCAATTTGAATCCAATCCAACCCAACCCAACCCATCCTTTTAATTTTAAATTTCGACTTGCAACTTGAATTTAAATTTTGTATTAAAAATTGAGATGAATTTGAGTTACTCATATAAATAATTTTTACACAAAAAATTTAATAAGATTTTGAATTAGTTTTAGATTAAATTACTCTTAAAAAAAAAAATAAAGACATTTTATAAATTACAAATAAATTCTTAAGAAATTAATTATCTTAATAAGTTATTCAATCACCCTATTTGTAGCTTCATCCAAACCAACACCCAAGTTTTATCATTGAATTAAAATAGATTCAAAACGGGATTTGACATAAGTTTGTGCAGGTCCGAACCCGATTTCCAAGTGGGCAGGCCCATATCCAACATCGACCCAAATTTAGCTTGTTCCACCCAATACATACATCTGACAACCACCACAGAACACTTTTTTATCTTGTACTTTGCACCAATGTACTTTCTCTCTCTCTCTCCCCAAACAAAACCATCTCTCTCTCTCTCTCTCTCTCCTCAAACAAAACCCATCTCTCATTTTGAATGTGCAGATCTACTCTCTTTCACTCTCTCTCTCTGTGTTTCCTTTCTTGTTTCTCCCCCCCCCCCCCCCCCCCCCCCCAATGAACTAAGGTATGCTGATTTTTGAAACTCCATCTCTTCAACACTTCTTTCACTTTCTCTCTTTTCCTAAAGTTTTCTTCTCAGTCTGCTCACAATCTTTATTTGATCTTTGTTTTTGCATTTTTTATAATTATTATTTTTCTACAATTCAACGTCAGACCATCTCTTATTAGCAGAAAATTTTCTTTAAGTTTTTTTTGTTTTGTTTTGCTTTTTTAACCATTTTTTTTTTTTCCTTAGCAGTAAAATGTTAGATTTAGGTTGGGTGGATGTATAAGATCTAAGGAATATGAAGTACTCTGAGTAGATCGAGACATAAATATGGTTTAAGTTGCCAGCTGTATCTACTCTTTTAGGTTACCCAGTACTGAGAACCCTAGGCGACCTTATCGAACCTTAGGGTCTATCGGCTGGGCTCTCCTTTGACTCACAATTAGGTTTATTTTATTTTTTAAAATAATAATAACTATGATTTATAGTTATAGCTCTATATATATATATATATTTGGATTTTTTTGGGTGTAAATTTAGGTAATAAATATTTAATATATATATATATATATAGCTCTATATATATATATTTGTATTTTTTGGGTGTAAATTTAGATAATAAATATTTAATATATATATATATATAGATATTTTGCAGTGTATAAATTTTTTTTATAAAAAATATTATTTTTTTGGGGTGTAAATTTAGGTAATAAATATCTAATATATATAGATATTTTTTTAGGTAATAAATATTTAATATATATATATATAGATATTTTGCAATCTAAAATTTTTTTTATAAAAATATATTAATTAGAACTGTTAAATAATTTAAAAATAGAAATATTCTCTCCTATAAAAAAATATTAATTAGAAATGTTAAATAATTTAAAAAAAGAAATATTCTCTCCCTTATAATTTTGATAAAACCCTTTCTCAAAAAAAAATAAATTCTTAGTTATGTTATTTAATCTTTACCCATATTAGATACAATAAATTTTTAAAAATAGAAAGAAGACTTACTTATTTTGTACAGTAATTTCCAATTTTTAATAATATAACAATTAATTAATTTATTATTATTTTTGTCGCACGTTAGTTTTGGTGGGAGACCTTTCCTCTATTAACTCCGCTTTGGACCATATCTCTTCGACACCCAGAAACTTATCCTCTCTCACACACATCTTCTCATCTTTTATTTGCATCTTATTAGGTTTCTGATTCTCGCTTAATCACCATCTTTCTCCACCACATCACTGGTTTGGAGATTTGAGTCTATATCGTTGGTATCGATGGTTTTTCCTTTCTATAATATATATATATATATATTATATATATATATATATATAGGTTTACACAATATCATTTACGGCAAAAGATTTGAGTTAATTTCATCTCTCTATTAGAGAATCTTAGATTTTCTTATTTATATTTTCACAAACCATTTCATTTTGACTCCATTTCGAGAGAAATCTTAAGGTTTGATCAGTTTTTATTTTTGTTTTTGTTATCAGATTTTGTAAGACTCAAATCAAACCTCTACACTTCAAAAAAAAAAATTCTATTGAAGATGTTCGGTTGTGGTGATTTGGAATGGTACGTTGCATACAATTGGTCCCTTAGAATTGAAATCGGAGAAAATTTAGTAATTAAATTTTTTCCGATTTCAATATTAAGATACCAATTGGGCTCCAAAGACAGATACCAACAAAGATATAACCATGATGGGTCATTTATCAGAGGCACAGATTAGAAGGGACTGGAGATCAATCCGAGAGAATCGAAATCAAAGGTTAGTTTTAACTTTTAAACGCACGTTGTGTTTGATCATGTGGTACCCAAACACTATCTCATCCTACTACTAAACCCCCCAATAAGTATCATAATGCTCAGCACTACTAAACCCCGAACAGGTTAACATCCTATTACTTCCCAGCACTACTAAACCCCGAACAGGATCACCTCACTCCCAGCACTACTATTAAACCCCCAAACAAACAGTATGAATTCGTTCACTCCCAGCGCTACTATTAAACCCCCAAACAAACAGTATGTATTCGTTTGGTATTTCTCTTCAAAAGTTGGGGTAGGGTTTCATTCATATTGTTACGGTGAGGAGACCTAGGGTTTCAACCAGATTTTTAAGCGGGAGGGAGTTATGAGGTTGCTTGCTTCATACGTTTGGAAGTCTTCTCATCGTCATCTTCCCTTCATTTCACCGAGGATGGTCCCTGGTAGTTGCATCTAATCTCTACAATCACACATCTAAATAGTCCATTGCTATTGATTTTCATTTTATTGGGAGATTTAGATAATCTCTGTGTATATGTATACGGTAAGTACCTTGATAGATCATTCTGGTATTTGTTCTTGTATTTATGTGATGTGTATATGTTTACTGTACCTTGTTATTGATAGATCGTTCTTGTATTTATGTGATATTTGTATAACTATACATTTTTAACATTCTCTGTGTCAATGAGAAGCTTACCATTTTTAGCATGTTGCATTTCAGCAATTTTATAAACTCTTATTGTATGCCCCTTGTTTTCCATTCCTCGTTCCATGATTTTAGACTTTTTAGTACAGTGATCTTACCATCTAGGACCTACTTTATATGTTAAATTAGAGAGTTTTCTATGATCTCTTGCCAAATATAATATCTATACATATATGTGGTGTGGTCAGAATTTAAAAAATTATACGAGTAAATGCCTGGTTTTCCCATGACATTGTTTTAGGAATATTGCAAGGATGTTTGCATCTTATTATTTTTGTATGTTGGCAAGCATATAAATAGATTGTGCTATGAATTTTTTGTATTTATGGCTGATTGAAGAAATTGTTAAAAACCTCTTGGCACATATCTTAATTTTGGATTAAAAAATGGTTTCCAGTCTGTTATCAGAGGATTATATGCTTGAATAGGAAGTTGTATACGTGGATGTTGATGGTGGGGTTAAGCTTGGTTCGAAGGGGGAGTGAGCCACATGATTTGCTATGATACGAGTGGGTCCGCGCTGATCTGAAGCAGAGTGGACAGCCTGGAACACTCGGTTTTATTGCTGATCCGAAGGGGGAGTGGACAGCAGGGGACATTTGGTTAACACGCTGATTCGAAGGGGGAGTGGACAGCCTGGTTACTAGGAATGCCTTGCAAACGTTTGACAAAAGGCTCCATTGAAAGGGGGATGAGGTGGAGCCTCCCTTTTTTATTTTTTTATTATTTATTATTTATTATTATTTTTTTTTTCTGCCAGCCCAAATACTGTTGGAGCCTTTATCTATGGTTTGTTGGGCATCCAGTGGGTTATGCCTTGGTCCTCGAGGGGCTTGATTGATTTCTGGAGAGGCTGGTTTGCGGGAGCCCACGCCCGTGATTTTTGGAGGTCTCCCCCCTTTTATGTTTGGTAGTGCGTTTGGAAGGAGCGGAATAGAAGATCTTTTGACGGGGAAGAATCTTCCATTGGGGCTTTGAAATATCTTATTTTTAGTTCTCTTTTTAGTTGGGGATGGGGAGAAATACTAAAGCTATAAAGGAGTTTGTTGATTTTGGTTCCTTGGGCCCTTAGGTCCTTTTCTTTGGCCTCGGACTTTGTGTAGTTCTCAAGATGCGTTCCCTTTTTGAATGGGCTCTAACATATTCTTATCATAAGAAAACAAAAAACGGCTCCATTGAAAGGGGATGAGATGGAGGCCGTTCAAATGTTTTTATTTACTGATTTGGCTTGAAAATCAGATTCTAAAGGTTGGTTTATTCTTTAGCATTATGGCACTTGTGCAAAATTTTTTTGGAGCATGCAAATGTTTTGTGCTTAATGGAGGCTGTTTAAATGTTTTTATCGACTGATTTGGCTTGAAAATCAGATTCTAATGGTTGGTTTATTCTTTAGCATTATGGCACTTGTGCAAAATATTTTTGGAGCATGCAAATGTTTTGTGCTTATAGTGTTTAATGGCGCTTCTAATCCATTTAATTGCTCATACGTGATTGTTTCCTTGTGTGCATTAAAATTTAGAACTTGTTGTCTTGTGATTAGATTGTTAGTGGCTGCTTATATGCGTCCCTTTCTGCTTACGTGAAGCTGCTATCATATGTATAATGGAATGAAATGATTGATGTGGAGCTTGTATGGTTTGGAAAGAACACAAAATGCTGGGTCCTTGTGAATACGCATATTTTATTGCCAGGAAGAGTCTCTTAATCCTTGAAAATGTTGTGGTTAGCTAAAGGTTATGTAAAATGTTGTGGCTAGCTAAAGGTTATGTAAAATGTTGTGGCTAGCTAAAGGTTATGTAAAATGTTGTGGGCTAGCTAAACATTATGTACAATGTCATTTGGAAAAACTAGTTACTTCCATGTAATAAGGGGTCACCCATGCTTGATAGGGGTAAAGAATTATAATGGACTCTTGTTGTGAATTGTTCTTACTTGCATGAGCATGTCTGAAGTGATGATTTGCAAGAGAATGCAGAAAACGTGTGAATTTTTCTGGGCTGAGCAATTCCAGCCGGTTGCACTTTGGTTCCAACTGGTTGCAATTTGCTGAGTTGGGACCTTCCCCTGCTATGACATTATCTGTTTTTCTTTCACACCAATGCTTGCATGAAAATCAAATGGGATGAATTTGTTTACAATTGAATGAGTATAATTCTTGGGTTGTCTTCTTCTGTAGGATATCACAGAGCTAATCATGGTGGTTGTCCTTATTCTCAACGAAGGCCCTTCGTCCTCGGATTTGATAAGACCAGAACAATCTCCTCTATGTTCGCTCATGAGAAAGAGCTGAGAATTAAGCATCCTATTATTGGTAATTATATATCTAATTGGATCTTGTATACGTATTTGTTATGTAGTTTCTCTCTGATAATCTGTAACACCGTCAGTTTCTGCTAGATCATTTCTTTCATATTTAGTGGATCAATTGCATTTTAATTACTTAAAATTTTTTATTATAAAATTTATGTGGTATATTTCTGTCACTTATATTCATGTAGTTGCTCTGTTATAAAATTTATGTGGGAGGTTCGTGTGATTTAGTCAAAGTTGCTTATGAGATAGGTGGCAGCCATCTGATAAACCTAAAGGACATGTGTCATGTGCATCTCATGCATTACTAGGCTACATTTCTCAGCCAACAAGAACACACACCAAAGGGGTCTCACACATACTTTAAATGTTTTGGAAGACTTTTATCTTGAAAAAATATTTTGGAAAATGTTGTGGCTAGCTAAAGGTCACGTAAAATGTTACTTGGAAAAACTAGTTCCTTCCATGTTGTAACTTGTAAGGTGCCATGTTGACCTATTATGCTAGATAGGGGTAACTTGGACTCTTGTTGTGAATTGTCCTTACTTGCATGAGCATGTACTTTCTTAACTTCACCCACCAACTTGTAGGGCAGCCCTGCGTTTTGTGCCGTGACAAAACGTAGGGAATTGCTGAAAGGGATTTTAAGGAGGTATCGGGATTGTTAGTCGGTAGTCCATTGCTATTTAGATTTCATTGTTTTTCTTTATGATCATAATTGGCAGTTTGGTGTAAGTTTTATTGTGGATAATTTTAAGCACATCCAAAGTCAAACTATGTTTTGGTGTTTGTATTCTTCTTTTCGGGCTGATTTATACTGCAAGAATCATGATTGATATTACAGGTTTTGGTGTAGAAAGTGCATTCTTCAGAGCAACACCTCATCACCAAAACAACCCTTATATGGAAGTTGGTTACTTCATAGATAGATGGGGGGGACCGTATAAAGAGTTCTACTACATGGACCCAATGGTAAGTTTTAAATACAGTGTCTCAGAATTAATTTATGTTGTGGTATTGTTGCGATTTAAAACTAATTTATGTTGTGGTAAAGTACAGTATTTTTTGTTGCGATTTAAAACCAACTTATGTTGTGGTAAAGTACAGTATCTCAGAAGAATATTCTTTGAAAATGGCTTGATGAAACTCGTCCGTGATGGAGGAAGATATATCCGTGGGTGCTATGAGGATATGCTCTATTTTGGAGAGCTTATTGATTCAAAGAGATATATGTCCGTGCCGGATATTAGCAGGTGGTTCTTTTCTGCGGATGAAAGGACCAGATTGGATATTTTAGACCATATAAGCAGGTCTAATATTCATGTTGTTGCAGCTTCCAGTGATACTTTGCTTGCTTATCCGGCATCGACTGTCAGATATGAGCCGCCGCCTCCAGGTGTACTAAAGTACTGTAGCGATGGCGCCGTGGTTTCTTCTAAGAAGGTGGCATGGGGTGGAGTGTGGAGGGATAGTTTCCACAATGTGGGACCAATACACTGTGGCAAATTGACTGGGGTACTCACTCCGATGCAGGTGGAGGGTTGTGGCATATATCATGGTTTGGCCAACTCTTATGATAGCGGTTTGCGTTGGAAAAAATCGATATTGCAGATCGATAACGCAGAGCTGGCTTATGGCTTGAATTCGGGCCGACACCCTGATGATTCTGGCTGGCCAATTACCTTCAGGTACATGTTCTTCTAATTGGGTTTAATTTGTTGATTTGATTTTTATTAATTATTATGTAATTTATCAAATTTTGCAGAGACATTAAAGATATGATGAGCTTGTTTCCATACCTTGATCCAAAAGTCGACTTTGTTCTTCGTCAAGGGAATCGTGTAGCGGATTATATTACAGGTGAGACCCGGGATGATAGAATTTATGAGTGGTCTGAAGTTTGTAAGAGAGCGAGGGCTGATCGGAGACGCAATTATTTCAGAACAAAGTTTCTTCCACGAAAAAAGTCTCACCGACGAACAAAGTCTCACCGACGAACAGCGTTTCTGTCACGAACTACCTTGGGGCAGAAGTAGAGTAGTTTTTGTAAAGCATTTGTGGCTAAGGTAACAGTTGTGTTTGTCTTGGATGATGCAAAAGCAGTTTCCATAAACCACCTTGGGGCAAAAGTAGTAGAGTTTTTGTAAAGCATTTGTGGCTAAGGTAACGGTTGTGAAGTTCTTTGGTGATCATTGAACAATTTTTGCTTTGGAGTTTTCCATAAACAACCACCTTGGGGCAAAAGTAGTAGAGTTTTTTGTAAAGCATTTGTGGCTAAGGTAAAGGTAACAGTTGTAAAGTTCTTTGGTGATCGTTGAACAATTTTGGCTTTCGAGTTTTTCTTTAGTTTGTGGTTTGTTAGAAGATGGTAGAGCAGCTAGCAGGTGTGTTTTTGGTCACCATTGAACAATTACTCTTGGGAAATGATCCAAAACGATTTAAAATTCTTTTTTGATGAAGTCACTTCGTGAATTTAAAGAAAACAAAAAATCATTTTACACACGGTAAAAGATTGATGGGCAGGAAAATCAATGCAGTTGCTAAATAGTTGACTGAACAATGGAACAAGTCATAAAGTGGTGAACAAAAGCAGTATTTGGAGAACAAAGATGCCCAACGAGTCAAACCACTCAAAATTATACCAGTGATTTGCCGTGGAAGTTGAATAGAAATTCATAGTAGGATCTTGAATGGTGTGTTGTACACAAACCACAACCATATAGAGATATGGTTTTATGGGCCGGTCCGGGCCTAAAAGTGTTTCAAGAATCCCAAGCACGACCCTTGGGCTTTGGTGACGGGCTGTAGACTTTAAACGGGCCGAGCTGCGGACTTTAAACGGGCCATATAAGAATAAAGAATAAAAAACAAAAATTATATAATAAGCTTCGTTAAATGAACTTACGTTACTCGAGTTTTTTGAAACTTAAGGAACTGGTCTTTACTACTTTTTTATTTGAAGAAACTTATATTTCTGAAGTCAGAGCCTTTGAAGGTTAAGGAACTGGTCTTTACTACTTTTTTATTTGAAGAAACTTATATTTCTGAAGTCAGAGCCTTTGAAGGGATGACACGAGGGCTCTTATGAGAAGATATAGTGTCCAATGTAGACATTTAACTCATTTTAAAATATAAAATTATAAAATTAGATACAATTTTTAACTACATGTCCAACAAAAAATGTGACATATCTATACTTATGTCCCAACAATAAGTATCACACAGGTTACTTGTATACATATGATTCAATAACAGTGCTATAGATTGTTCAAAATTTTCAATTTGAATAAACATCAAAGTGTGGAACATCTTTTTTAAAAAAAAAAAAATTGAAACAGTATGTAATGAACGAAAAGATATTATAATAACAAGATAGAAAAGTAATATGACATATAATATAATATATATTTTTAATATTCAAATAGCTTCATCTTCTAACTTAAATAACTTTAATATAAAACTTATAAATTAATTAAAATTTTAAATTTGTCTTGGTCAATATATAAATAAAATTTTACATTTCCATTAATTGTATCTCCGCTTGTGTCAGCGTACCAGGTCCATAGCCCGTGCTTGTGCTTCTTAGATTAGAATGGAGTTTTGACTTATTACACCAGTTGTGTCTTTATATTTTATGTTGGCTTAATTGCACTTAATCAACCGGTTGTCCTTTAAACATGGTTGGGATGTCACTTGATGGTTATACAAAAAAAGAAACTTCTCTTTACCTCCAATTATGGTTGAAAAAAATGTAGACTGAAAAAATAACACAGCTTGCAGTCAACCAACTAAAATCAATATGCCAGTTTGGGTTTGCAAACCATTTTAGACTCCCAAACTCACCCGAGTTTGCCCACTTGCAAGCCATGTCACATTGCAAATCTCTAAAAAATTGACTAGGGAAGAACATTGTGTAATCAACCTAGAACAAAAACAAATTCCCAAATTTCATTCACCAATGACATTTAACAAAAATAAATGAATAAATAAAATCTAATCTACTTGTTTGAATGTGAAACAAAAGGTTTACATGTCATTAACAAAATACAAAAAATAAATAAATTCATAATCTACTTGCTTGGATGTGGAACAAGAAGTAACAACCAAAAAAATTAAAGGAAACATATGCAACAACAATATACAGGAAGAGGAGAGTGAAAAAGCAAGAGTTCAACAAAATACTGCAGCAAAATATATCTAATCCATTTGTTAGATTGGGAGAAGGGAGAAGGGAGAAAGAATGTATTAAAATAAGAGCTCTGAGAAGAAAAATAGTGCTTTGAGGTGAAAAGATAAAAGGAGAAAAAAACGGAGAGAGAGAAATTGGGGGCATTAGGGCTTTCTCGATAAAAGGATTTGTGCTCTGTTAAGAAAAGAAAAAAGAAATAAATAAAGAAATAATAATAATAATAATAATAATAATAATAATAATAATACAGCATGATTACCAAATGCGTATGAAGAGAAAACAAAATCAAATGCCTAATTGACTCATCCATCATGTAACAAGAAGTAGAAAGTTGCAAAACAACTGAAAGTCAGAAGTCACTTTTGTTCTCAAAAAGAAAAAAGGAAAACAAAAAAGAGGATGAACAGGTAAACCTTAAAAAGTAAGGGTCGAAAATGGTGCTTAGGCAAATTAGGCAAATCATATTCGCGTTATCCCATGCTTGATTGCTGATGCAAAGAACTTATAATCTTTTAAATATAGAAAAAATGCTGGTGACAATATCATCGCTTTACCCATCTTTTTGTTCCTTGCTAACCGATACAAATGAAAGCCGTAGAAATCCTTCATCAAGTGGAATGTATGGCACGGTCGTTCATGTGATAAAACAGGTGATCCCCATTCAATAAATTTAGACATTGCCCACTTCTGCTCCTGAAATTTGTTAGTAATTGGATGCTGCACAAAACAAAGTCATGACTTAGTTATTTATGCAACCAAATAATGGGAAACTAGAAGAGAAAACTACTTGCTTTTATGTCTTATATACTTGAAAAAACCTAGTATCAAGCTTCTACAAGAGGATGAAAAGAGATTCCACATGAATACAGCACAAGCAAGTTTTGAGGCTATGAGAAAGTCTGATGCAAACCACAAGCTGTAATTTTGCTTTAATGAAAGTCTTCACAAACATAAGTGGGACCCTCTCAGTTGATTATAGAATAGCACTCATGCTGCTCGAGTAATTCCCTTGCAGTACTTTAATGAAAGTCTTCTTCACAAACTTGGCAAAGAGGAGTGGATGCCAGGTAGAGTGCTTATGCCCGAGCCTCTAAGAGGCCAGATGGGGAGAGAGCAGCTGTTGCACTAATAGGACTGCAATCTAATCTATCTTTCCTATCCTGAGGACCTGGTTAAAGAGATTTGGCCCTGCCAGGCCGTATGCACATGGGTGCAGGATTCTTCGAAAACGTGTGGGCTGACTCAGAGTCCTTGGACCACTGAATCTTTTCAAGATGAGAGGCTTCACTACAGGAAAAGGGAGGAACTTAGCAACCATTCCTGACTTAGGATTTGCATGATACTTAAGTTACAGATTATATTGATTATGTCATCCACGAAATCGGGGAATTCCTTCTTTCTTCTAGCTTTAAAAGTATCGATGCATACTATTGAAGACCCAGTATTCTGAATCAATCACAAGCTACCTGAAGTGAAGTTTCTGGTTCCCCCTTTTCATTTCCAATTCCTTCTTTTCGTTCTACTTAGGTGGAGCAATATGAACTCTCCACAGAATATAAAAGAGGACCACAGGCCTCAACAAACTTATGTGGACACTCCTCAGCCCGAGGACAAGTGCCAAAATTGAACCGTTCTTCTTCCTTCCCCACTCCCTCTTTTTCTACATATGCAGTGGTTTTTCCCTGACTGAAATGAAAATTGAATTCATGTAACAGTAAAGAGCTGAAAACTAGTCCTTTGAAGGGCCCCTCATTCTCAATGCATGCTATCTCTTTCTTGTGTTTAGTGACGAGGCTACCTAGCGTAGAGGTGAATATAGCCTTGGTTGAAGTTACCCTATAATTATGTAATATGGAGTACCAATTTTAACCTTTAAATACTTAAATCACTTGTTAAATCCTACTGAAACTCTCACATGTATAATAAGGGTATATATTGGTAAAAAAAAAACCACAAAAACTCTTAATCCCTTCCTTCCTAAGAAGCACGGACACTCCAAAATGGGTGAAGAATCCGTGTCCGACACGCGTCGGACACGGACACGCGTCGGACACGCCCCGACACGTGTCGGACACGCCAAAAAACGTGTCTGGAATTTTTTTATTTTTTTTTATTTTCGGACACGGCTTGGACACGGCTCGGACACGGCACGGACACGGCTCGGACACTACTCGGACAGCTCGGACACGGCTCGGACACACTTTTCTGGATTTTTTTTTTTTTTTTTAAAATTTTTTAATGCTGATAGGTTATTTATTTATTTTTTTTTTAAAATTTTTAATGCTGATATGTTCTATTTTTTGTTTTGTACTACCCTAAAGATGGTGATATATATATATACTAACCTAAAGATGCCACAATTCGCCGTGTCCGTGTCCTAAAGATGCTGATATATATATATACTAACATATCAGTGATATATATATATATATTCCAACCTAAACATATCAGTGTTTTTTTTTTTAATTATTAATGCTGATATATATATATATACTATTTGCCGTGTCCGTGTCCTAATTTTTTTGGATTTGCCGTGTCGCTGTGTCCGTGTCGTGTCGTATCCGTGTCCGTGCTTCTTAGCTTCCTTCCAACCCCCAAAAAAAAAAAGGTCTCACCCCATCCATCCTTTTCTACTATCCCTACCATTCCACCAAACAAAAAGCATGAGAGACACCTTCCCTTCCGTAGGGATGCCATATCCATCCCTCCCCCTCTCTTCTCCATCCCTCCAACCAAACGGAGCAAAAGAAGGCCTTAGATTACAAGTCAAAATCCTATTAGGCTATTACATAGCATTGAGGCACTATATAACAGTCTTTCCCGTAAGCAAGCCTTTCCCAAAAAAGCTATATGAGAAATAGCCAGTATAATAGTGTCACTTGTGGATCAAGTATGGCATGAGATTGTTCATATCAAACTTTATTTAGGCTTATTCAAATATCATCAATTTCAACCAACAAACCTAACACTTCTGTTGGTTGACTAAGTGAGAACGAGTGAGAGCCAAGTAATTAAAATGTAATCCCTGTGATCAAAATTTAAAATGCACAAGATTATACGAAAGCTTGTTTTTATTTCAAACAAACTAACTTTTTTATTATTGCAAGGACACGAGACATGATATTTCGGTATTGTAAACTATTTAGGTAATAATTTATGATGTTAAAAGTTTTATTCTGCATTATCATGGGTGTGGTAATACCATATCACAGGGAAGGAAAAATTAACAATTATCATAACTGGCTACATTTCTCACCATTGACTGGCGAAAACTGCGCGATAGCGAGTGGTGTGGCATACAGAGATCCTGTGATTGAGACCTAAATGATGTTCTCCTCTCTGTGTAACAGAAAAGATGATGTAATTAGACAAGTGAAATTTGAATTCTTTCATAAATATTCTTTCTTTTGTATCTCTGAAGCAAGGAAGACGTTTATTGAAGAAGAACCAACAAACCTAACACTTCTGTTGCCAGCTTGATTTCTTCACTTTCGCTATTCAATATCATCAAGTCACAAGAAAATAAACATGAATTAGAGTACTCCAGCTTATTTGAAACCAGATAAAATTAAGAACGGGAAACAATAGCATAAATATTTCAAATTCATTAATTTAACAAATTAAAAATGTATGAAACCAGTCTATGTCACTCAAGTCTATGTCTTTGTCCTTCAAAACAAACCCCGATTCCTCAAGCAGCGCTTTGATGTCTTTCACCACCTTTTCTTTTGACATCTGTAAGGAGACAAAAAGAACTAACTTCATGGAAGTGTTACACCAAAATTCAAATGGCTTGTAGAGATATAAGGTCTGTTTTTTTTTTTTGGGGGGTGTGGTGGGGGTCGAGAGTACAGTAAAGTAACCACTTTCAACAATAAACCAACACTCAAAATTAGTAGAAAGCATCCAGCTGGACAACCATAATTAGGGTTGAAGTGCACCCTAAGAAACAATCATAAAGATAAAAAATAAATAAATAAATAAAAAGCAGGTATACGAGCAGCATACATGATATTGTACAGACTGCCTGTATGTTTCAATAGCATCACCAGTCCTAGCAAAAACTTCAAGCAATAGCAGGACCATTTTCATCACCGTCTTCTTATTCTTAATCTTCTGATTACGTTTTTTACCAATGCACATTAATTCAACCTCCTCATCTAGTAATGCACTCTTATCAAGGATGCATTGGCGGATCATCACGTCTCCTTCTAAAACAGAACCATCTTTGCTCAGCATGCTTGGAGCCATAATCTTTTCTCGAGCCACCAATAGCAGAGCAGCCAATGGAATAAGTTTTCCCTCCATAGCATAATGGTAAAATATATTGTTGACATCCTTTGTGTTCCATGCAAGTAACCTATTGGTTTCTAATGGTACTTTCTGCACAATAATTGATTAAATATAATAAGCCACCATCGAAAACCCTTCATACACGCCCAATCACATGCATATATAAGCTAAAATATTCTTTCAAGCCAAATTAAATCTGTAGCAAAAACAAACCATTTGTGGCAGGGAAAGAATAACAATCAACTTGAAAATAGACTGCTTCGGAGTCCAATGAGACGGGTATCGATGATAACTGCTCCAGCCAAACAAAAAGTACAATCAAGCAAGAAGGAAAAAAGAAGATATGGTGCTTAGATCAAATGGCTTATTTTGTGGGCTCTATCAAACAACTCAGAAATAAAATTACAACAGGACATCTTCTACCTTAACATTTCAAGTGCTATATTCAGAGGCAGCAAGTCACCCCTGAATTCACCTTCTATGGTTCTGACATCAGTCCAAGCCCCATGGCGAAGTAACAAGTCAATCATATCATATGAGAAAGCTTCAGCCGCAATATGTAATGGATATAATCCATATTCAAAGGGAACATTAAGATCTACAATGAAAGGGTCTCCTTCAAGTAAAGCTTTGGTGCAATCTATTGCATCAAAGATACAAACCAAATAAAAATACTCCTCTGGACAATAGAAAGATTCATTAGTCACTGGTACATCTTTCACCAATTTATTTGCTCGATGTGCATATGGGATTTTCAAAAAGTTAACAAATCCATGCCTGTCATCCACTTCAATGTAATCTTTGGATTCATCTGCAGACTCCAAATCCATATTTCGATAAAAACATAAATCTGGCGGATAAAGCTGTCATTGTCAAGAGGTAGAATCAGTACACATGAACACAAACAAACAAAAAAAGTGGCATAGAGGTTAGCAAAATTTAAAAAACAGAATTCGTAAGTACAAATACAAACTTAAGAGAAAATAAAGCAAAATGGAAACACAAGAATATTTTCAAAAGAGCATAAAAGACTATAAAAAGGACTAAGAAAATAAACTGTTGTCCGCAATATTAACAGAATGTAACATTATTATTATTTGTATTGGCAGTGCACTAGTCCATAGAAAAACATTCCAATGCATGCCATTTTCTCGGTGCAGCTCGGAACAAATGCAAAACAGAAAATTTGATATATATATATATATACACACACACACTTGCATTGATAAAATTCAGAGTTAAAATGCAACAACATGGCAATTGAAAGGTGAAATAGTTGAGATACAAATTTGTTGAGTGCTATGGACTAAGTAAGATAAAATGATGAGAGTAAATCAGTCCATAGATATTTTGACTGCCCAAAAGGACTGCGGAATAGCAGGTTATAACACCAAACCAGTTCCAACTTTTCCTGTTTTTAGAATTTGCAAGTATTTTAAAACTCATTCTGCTTCTATCGTGTCTAGTGTCTTCTTAGTCTTATAAAACAGACGGTGTCCAAACTCCAAAAAAGGAGGGTGCTTGGGTATACATAATAGGGCACTTCTCTTGAGCAACAGGTTGCATCTACTTCAGGGCTGGCCCTGAGATTCCCAAAATTTTGAGAGGCCCTAGGCGAACTTTCAAATGTGAGGCCTTTAAGTTTCACACGCTCAAAAAAATTGATAAGAGTGCGGAATTTTCACACGATATTTTCAAATTCTACGACTGGGTGCCAAGTGCATAAGACAACAAACAATAACTATAAATTTATCACCACCAACAAATAATTGTGCGTCTGTGCAGTGTGCACAAGACAACTAACTACTAACAATAAATCTATTACCATCAATAAATAATTGTGCGTGCCTGTGCATTGTGCACAAGACAACTAACTAATAACTAAAAATCTATCACCATCAATAAATAATTGTGCGCCTGTGCAATGTGCATAATCAGAAAAAGAATGGATGTTTTAGTCTGTACGGAAGATTGAATTCCAGTTTGATTATCCCTGCAAATATACCCTTAGTTGTCAAAACAATAGTAAACAATTATTTTCAAGGCATCCAAATAAATAATGTACTAATATATTTTTCTTGGAATTCATTATTCCTTTATCAATTCTATGGAATTACAGAATACCCTAAACAGAGAAACCCGCACTAGCTGAGAATAACTCCCCATTCCCTTACCAAATTCTATGTGTATATATAATATATATATGTGTATATATATAATATGTATATAATATATATATAGCCACATTAAGTATTCATCGCAGTAGCATATATATACACCTACAAAGGTCATCTGATACCCCCATGTTCCATCTCTGTCACTTACTCCCTCTAAACTTCATTAACACCTCTCGGCAGCTCGTCAGACCTCCGTATATAGATGTTACTAGTAATCAATTAAACCCATAATTCCATACAACTCAACAGCTCTAAACAAAACAAACTCTAACCAATCAACTTCATGACCTCTTATACAGATGTAGAACTTTGTCAAAACCAAAGCAAACAATCTCACTTTCTATTTAATATTAAACACCCAATTCACACTAGTACTCTTAACTCTTTCTTTCACTTTCACATGCATCGTAGAAGACAAATACCCACCTTGAAAAAACCCTCAAATTATTAACACAATCTTCAATTCATAGTTCTTTCTTGGAGTATTAGGTATGACTTAAATTCTCTTCATATATATAACAGCCCTTTCTCAGTTTTCTCTGCAAAATCATTTAAGCCCAAGGCAAGGTTCAATCAACATTCCTTGAAAAGAAAGAATTAATATAAATGAAGCCAGAATGATTGCGTTGTAACCTGCATGATTTCAAGCAATACACTATGTGGAATAACAAGTGGCCAGCTATAATTCCACTTTGATTATCCAATTTATCCTGCCTTTTTTGTTCTAAGCCTCTAAGGTAAGGGGTAAATCTTCTATTTCAAGCATCCCATAAATTTTCAAAATTCAATAATCAACCAGACCAGTGAAATTAGATTCAAATTGATCAGAGATAAAAGATTCCATAAATACGCGGAATCAAGAAAAAAAAGATCAATTTCAGATTGGAAAAAGCGAAAAAGGAACCCAGCACCATAAATTGGAATTATTGGATGAGCTACTTACTTGTAATCTTTTCGGCGCTGCTCCTGATGAAACTGAAGCAAATGTCCCAAACACAAACACAAACCCAAATCTTATCCTTCGACTTCGAGCCTACGAGGAGCGACAGGAGGCCTAGAACACAATTCGTTTTTTCATTTTTTTTCTTGATTCGACAAAACATAAAAATGGGTAAAGAAATTCAGCGGCTAAAAGACAGCCAAACTGAACAAAATTGGGCCCATAACACAACCGTTTATAATTTTTTTATTTCAGTATCAGCATTTTTTTCTGTAGGAACAACTTTTGTTTTGGACCAAATTTTGAAGCCTAGTATAATATATAGGTTGGGCCAAAATTTGAGGCCTCCAAATTTGGAGGCCCTAGGCGACCGCCTGGGCCGACTAGGCCCAGGGCCGGCCCTGATCTACTTCTAGGTAATTTGATTGGTAAATGGGCAGTCATGGCAAAAAGTGGACAACGCATGGTAAAGAAGGTAATAAAAAAAAGTAGATTTTTTTTATTTAAACCTCACCTCGTCGTTCTACTATAGAAGACGAGGATGTATAGTTAGATTACAACCCTTGATAGACTTTCAGATTGAACCAAGATATATAGTAACATTGTTGGGAATAATTGGTAGAGACTGGGTGGGTTATAAAGAGTGCTAATATAATAATGCCTAGTTTTAGGGGTTGGCTCAAGTGGGTAACTTCACTTGGCCTGGGCCTATAAATAGGTAAAGAGGAACCAATAAGTCTTAGAATTTGAGAAAGTTCTCTTCAAGCTAAATTGATTCCGAATAAAGATAGCTTGTTATTTTTGAAGTTTTATTAAAACAGTTGACAATTTTTTTTCACTCTCAAATATTTCTCATCACGGTAAACAGACTGTGAATGTCATGCTAAGTATTTCTTTTGATAATTATCAACACAAATAGTTGGGTTTAACTAGGAAAATCCGAAGGAGAGATTTTCAAAATTTAGAGCAAAGAGTGGAAAAGAAGGTCAATAGCTCGAAAGGGTGTTATCTATCTGCTGGTGGTAGGGAAATAATGATCAAAGCATCTCTTCCAAGGTATGTCAAATTTTAACTTCTATGGGTTATATATATATATATATTTACCCTATAAAAGTGTATTCTCTTTGTATTTTTTATATACAATTTTTGGTAATAATAATAATATATACTCGATTTAAATATTTTATAAGTGTCGTTTCAGTTTTAAGTTGTTTGTTTGAAAATTGAAAGTTTACGACGGTAGTACTTTGCTGGTTAGAACTTATATAATGTCAATTTTACATTCATATTTTCCAAAAATCTGTATATATCTTATATAAATAATGTCTAAGTTGAACTCATGTTGCAAACTATATCTCCCTTTCTACTTGTCTATGTAAAAAGATCTTGTCTCATGTTTTTTTCTAATGTTCAAACTACAACTTTGAAACATGAGAGTAATAATTTGGTTCATGTGCATCAGCCTTATTTTTTGGAAGGTATGTTTCTTGCAATGTTTTTAATAAAGATATATGTTTCTCCTGTGTTATTAGAATTTTGCGTTGTGAGTTTCAGATAATTTTTGATAATACACAATATATATATTATCATTATCCATCTTAAGAAAATAGATAACACTATTGAGTCACAAATGAAGATGAGTTTCTTTAATTTTTTTTTTATTATTTCTTACTTTTATTGCACATAAAATTCATATGGCAGTTTTTTAATTTCTTTTTAAAATTTTAAAGTGCTCACATTATAGAAGGAGACGCAATATTAGAGCATGAGAACTTTAAAGTATTAAAACAAAGAAACAATTGTGTAATGTTTATTGTTCTACTATTTTTATAATTTTTTAGTTATTTTGTGTTGTAAATCCTATGAGAATAAATTATAAATCTTTTATGAATTATTAATTATATATTTTCATTTGCATTTTAAAATTCATTCTTTTCTGTTTCGAAAGTGAATGGTGAATCATTTTTCTCTCATTGCCAATCCTAATGATCAGTACCAATGTTGCATAAATTTTTAATATTCATACACATTTAAACTATTAATTAATTTATTTATTTATAAATCTATAGCTTTATTGGATTTATAAAATTTATATACATTTTAAAGTAGATCTTTAAATTTATCTTTAAATATAAAAATTATTTATTTGTATTTTTATGTTTTAAGAGTTACCTTTTTAAAATTAGGTTATTGGTGGTCTATTACAACTATACTAACTAACTATTATTTAAGAGTGGTGTCTTTTTAGATTTCTTTCTAATGGTTATCAATCAATCATTCTTTCAGAATTAATATGATTATTTAGAACTTAAAACAGTTATTTTAATAAATAATTGTTTTGTAACTTTTCATGTTTTGAGAGTCACCAATAATTTGGGTATTAACTGCTATAAGAGTTATGTGTTTTCAAATATCAAGAGTTGTGTGCTTTCAAATATCTTAATATGGAAGAGTGGTGACTTTGAAAAATTTATTCCTAATTAGTATTTAAGTACAATTGTTATTCTTATTTCTTAATAGTTTGATACTAACAACTATTTAAAAGTTGCGCATTCAGAACACTAAATTTGTTACTATCGAGGAGTTGTGCCTTTTATAAATATCTTTTTAATTAATATTTAATCAAATCATTCGTTCCAACATCTTTTAATAACTCTTAATACAATCTAGTTCTTGAAACCTAGGCATTTGGGTGCAAAATTAATCAACCTATCTGTCAAGTTTGGTTTTCTTTTTTAAATTTTTATTTCCTTTTCTAAAGATAAGTATTAAAAGGATTTTATAAATTTGTAAATTTGACCCACTTATAAATTATATATTTTAAAGAATGGCTTATTATTGTGATATGTTATTTAGTCAAAATATTAAATTTTTTTTTTTTAGAGCATCATCAAATCTTATGTTATTATTAGTCCACAAGACCTCGACTTGCAAATCCTCATTGGTTAGGAAAAACATCTCCAATTCTTTATTGCAATTTTCCTTTGCTTGTTCTGTTGCAAATTAATAAATAGATTATGTTGTTTTAGATGTGTGTAGCATTTTTACTCTTATTCTCCAAAGCTTCATTTTTTTTCTTCATTTTAATTTCTTATTTTTAAGGAAAAATCTCTATATTTTTTTTTTCCCTTTGTTGCGTATCAACCATAACTCTCTATCTCTCCAAAGTTTCAATGTTTAATATTCTATATATAATATTTTTAACAATCAAGTGGAGTAACATTGAGTTTGACCTTATAATCCAAATAGTTGTCCTTTTACTTAGATTTTAATGTCTTTGTAATTTTATAAAGTTGATTCTAATATACATATATCATAATTTTTTATTTTTGAAGGCAATTTTTTTACACTTTTCTTTGATATGTATAAGCAAACAAAAACAAACTTTCTTTTATTTCTTCAAAGTCATTTTTTTAAACTAAATTTTGAAGGTTGTTATGATTTCATAAATTTAATACTAATGTGATATATATATATAATATTTCATAATGTTTACAAAATTTTATTTACGTGCATTTGCACGTTTCATGCGTTTCTGTTTTTATGATCAGAAATTCTTTCCAGGAAGGCGGGGATAAGGAACTTTCTGAAAGCCTTGGCGAACCACTATTTGCTTCCGGCTCTGTACATGCTATCCCCACCAGGGTTAAAAGCATGAATGGGAATTACTGACGGATCCCTCTGTCAGGGCAGTGCTCGTTTGCGCGCGCGTGAACCAATCCAACAAACAAGGAAAGGATGCCTCTCGGGGCATCTGAGAATGCTTCGAGCACATTCTTCGCGGGAGTACTATATTCCTTGTTTAGGTCTTGATAATGTTTACAAAATTTTATTTAGCTTTTTCTAGTATATGTATATATATATATATATATTAACATGGAGTGTTACAACTCAAACCTGATACTTGGTGAGGCACAAGGCCCAAACAAGTTATTTTAACTTAACTTCTAGGTTCACTCGATTTTGAGGGCATGGAGCTATCGATCAAAGGAAAATTGAATGGGTAGTTTTGGAGCATATGTGCTTATCTAAAGAGCAGGGAGGGCTAGATTTTCGGGACATGACTTGGTTGCAGGTGTGAGTACCAACTAAAAAATAAATAAATAAATTGTAATAGAGTGACTCACGTACTAAGTCCATTTGCTTTGAGAAGCTACCAATTGAAAAGATTACATAGCTTGAAATAATTTCACACTCGGACTCCCAAGTAAGACCTTCTGAAGTTCTCTCAAGTCAGTCCATGGAGCATCATACTGAAAAAAAAAAAAAAAAAAAAAAAAAAAAAAAAAAAAAGAAGCAACTCTCTAATGATTTACAGTAACATGTCTCTCTTATGGGACGTCCGCATCAGGTCCAGAGCCCATTTCTTCAAAATACACTTGGTATAAACATCCAAGAACAACTGCAACACTGTAAAAGCTCATTTTATTAGTATAGTTCAATCCAATTATAATCCAAGCCTCATCTATAATATTTCTACGAACAACCAATTAATGATTCAGGTTTCGCAGCCTCAATGAAAACATTAAAAATGATTACTCAAACAAATGAATTCGTTGAACAAGAAGACCATATTATTAGTTCAAGGGCGTACTTATGAAGCTTAAAAATAAAAACATTAATTAAAATATAACTGTTTATACATAATTATTAACATTTAGCAAAAAATAATTATATAGAAATGTGTATATTAATTATATATTGATCACAATCAACGTACGACACCCAATAAAGACTAATCAAACTTACTCGATCTGTAAGTATTATGGCAAATGATCAGGAAAGCTAACATATCACGAACTGCAGGTAGTCTGAATATGCAGAAACTGAATTTAAATTGTGAGAAAGAAAGTGAAACTCTAGAAGTAATAGCAGACTTGGCAAGATCAAAATATCGCTCATGATCGATCCAAGTGTAGAGGTGTGAAGGGTTGAGTGAGGTCGAAAAGATGTAGAGGTCTGGGGACCTCAGAAAGATCGAGATGGATGTTGATAAGAAAAATATTGGATGTTGAGTTCAAGACCTAACACCCTTACTAAGAGCAAATGGAACATCAGTATCACAAACATCAGGAATATAATCATCAATAGCAGCGGATAACTTAGGATTACCTGCATGAGTCAGAGGGTAATGATTGGCAAGGAAGGAAATTAAGAAACAATAT